TACTCCAAGCCTCGGAATACTTTCGCAAGAAAAACATCCGACGGATCTTAATTTCTTGTAGTTTCTTCCAACAGCGAACAATCAGTTCTGATAGATTTCTGCGCACTGATTCGCGAATCTGAAATTGGTTTTTCCCTATCACTGTCAGTTATCGGAAAATTCAGTTTTGAAAAGGGCAATAAGTTTCGAAGTTTTGAATTTGTTTCGTGCTTGAACGATAGAAGGTACACGATTTCCATTTGTGGGGAATAATTCCACAGAATCTTCTCATTTACTATTAAAAACGTTTTGTGCCTTGCTGAGCAAACTTGGCAGGGAAATTTAGTTGTCATATCGTAATAATTAATACTATCGATTGAAGGTTTTATCAACGAAGTGATTTACACTGATTAGCTTTTGAATTTTCTATCTATTACGTTTTATTCAATTGAAATTTTAATATCAAGTTAACAATATACTAAATCAATAATGTAATAAATATGAAGTAATTATTAAAGCGATGAGAACCGATCTTTCAGAGATAATTTTCAGTTTTTAATTGTTCATAATATAACATGTACATATCGTTGTATTTGACTTCAGAATTAGATTAAGTTAAGTTAAAATTATTTCCCTCAAATAGATATATCTCTCCATATCCAAGTGTATCTTTTACCATTTAAACACAAATGGAACATCGTTCATTGTTTAGGTTTAAAAATCTCCTTTTTTTCCCTTTGCCAAAATCGAATCTTCCAAAAACTGACGAGAAAAAAATGTATTTCAGGTTCCAGTCTGTCAGAAACTGTTGTTCCCTAGGCAAAACTTTCTTTTCATGTTGTCAACAGCATAATTGAGCAACTGGCGAGAGTATCAAGAAAGGCACGCAATGGTTTTTAAAAACTGAGCGAAATAAGCGTTATTACACGAGGTGTCGCTAATACAATTGCGATACGGTTTAACGAAATCGTAAAAGCAACAGGAAAGAACGTTCGAGGGTCTCTGTCGTAACGATACGACCACTGCGGATGACGGAAATCGTCGCCACGACGGAAACCGGTCCGGCTGGCACGATCGTTGCGACACGCGGTTAGGATATTGCGCCCGGGCACTGTTTAATTTTCAATTATCCGGCTGGTACGAAATCCAGAGGCGCGATGCAATGTAATCGGGTATCGGTTTCACTCATTGGGTTAGCGAAAGAGCGGAAACGCTGAGCGAAACACGGGCTTTCAACAGGTACGATTAGGAACGAATCACGATTCGTAGTTAAGGTCTCTCTCTCTCTCTTTCTCTCTCTCTCTCTCTCTCTCTCTGTTAGAACACCGATCGATTCACGTACCTGACTCTAACCTAGGATAATCGTCGAGGATTTGCTTTCGATGATCTGAAACAACAATTTCGTCTTTTAAACGGAAGAAGCAAATTTTCGGGCAGAAGTTTGTAATCAAATGTACTCGTATAGTACATGAAGTAAAATGACGTTTTGTAATTAAATTCAATCATTAAATGCTAGAGTTTGTATAAAGTTCAACTGGTGATTTGTTAAATAATAAATTAATGACGTTTCTAAATATTAGAGTTATACTCGTAAGATGACAGTTTTCTTGACTCGATGCTCGACTCTTTCAAGCAGCACTCCAATAAAATAAATTATTTAGAATTTGAATGTATTTTTGTATTATGTACATTTTGTATAATAGTATCATATATTAATAATATATATATTTACATTTAATGTATACTAATAATATATATATATATTTTTATATATATTATTAATTTTCTATGTCTGTATATGTGTGTATATATAGATGAAAAAAAGTATTTAGATCTAAATTAGTATAATATGAATTAATTATACACAATAAATTTAATTGGATCATATTTTATAATACTAGTTGCATTATCTATTATATTATCTATTTAATATTAATATTTTATTTTTATATTAATATTAATATTTATAATATACTTACTACTATTATACTTTAACTGTATTATATAATTTTATTTCTGAAACGTTCAAAATGATGACAAAGGTGCATGTGTATATAATTCCAAAATCAAATGCAAAGAAACAGCTCTGATTAAAAAAGAAATTCGAAGAATTGGTTTACAACATGTTAAATTTTAAAATTGCTCTTTTAATGATAATGATCAAAATTAATTGTACTTTCAGCGACGAAATATAATGTTCAATGGTGACTTGTCACGTTCTTTATTTCTCTCTGTTCATCAGTACTATAATGTAATCAAATTACCTCTGATCTCATCCTCGAAATCTGGCAAATGATTCGACTGCTGGAAAAACGAGGGTGCACTGCCACCAGCTGGTGATGGAAAATCATTATCACGAAAGATCAGTCGTGGAGTTCGGTGTCCCATTACTGGCCTGTTGTACTCGGAAATCGGACTCCTCCACAGCGACTTCTGCTGTCTCCAGGATGGGAAACGAACACCAGGATGCGCACCGATGTTCCTCCCTATAGGAGGTCCACCACCCTCGAAGACATAACCGGCTGGACCACTTGGAAATCGAACGTATCGACGTCTGCGAGGTGAATTTAGAATAAAGCTTGTACGATTTCCATTGTTGTTGTTTCGTGGCTCGATGTAACCGGGATTAATGATCGTCTTTGGCTTGCTAAGGCTCGATCCTGAGATCTCTGTTTCACTGGTGGCACCATTCGAGGATACGATGAGGATTATTGCTATGAGTAACCATTGGCACGATCTCGCTGCACCCATCATTTGGCTGGAATACAACAATGAACTCTTTGGTGAGTTAAACTTGCTTGCGATGTATATTTATAACGATTAGTAGAAGTTAGTAGAGATTAGTAGAAATTAGTAGAAATTTAATTAGTAGATATTTGATATTCACTTGATCTTTTTTATACGTAAGTTTGAAAGCTGTTTAGACTTTGAATATATTTCTATATTTTTAAATATTTATTTATTTATTCATTCGATGAAGTACATCCTTCGATACAAAAGAAAAATGATAATGATACAGTAGAAAACGAAATAAGAAACATAATTATACAATGATAAAATTAGAAAATTGTACAAATGTAAAATTGTTTTTTAAAATATACTTAGCAATATACAATGTTAGCAATGTATAGCAATATACAATAACGAAATTAAAGTAATTTCTTCATAGAGTCGAGACAATTTTGAAGTTAATCTTCTCAGTATCTTATCGTTTTAAAACACTACACAATTTTGTCGTAGAAATAAAACGCGTAAAAATCTTCGAGCGCTAGGGTTTATCTGACGGGACACTCAGCAAGACACACATTTCCTATTATGAAACTGTATACATTCTTCTTATGAAAGAATTCTAAGGGGGTGGTACTTTTAAAATCTTGACTTACAGTGATTGTTTACTCACAATATCTTTATTGAATTAGTGTATGATGCAAAAGTGAATTTTTATGCATTTATGAGAAATTAAAAGATGCAAAAAATGTATAATACTCACTATAACATTTAATGTCTGAAACAAATTTTAAGATAACTACCATATATATATTTGTTTTAAAACTGGAACAACTAAATCTCATACAATAAAGACTGTATCAAATATGTACTAATAATTGTATTATAAAATATACAATGACTAAATATTGAAAATGTTATAATTTTGTAAGAAGAAATCATTATATGATAAACTTGGGTTCGTTTGAATGCGAATTTTATCTGAACCCAGGTGTAGAATTTTTTTTTTTTTTTTTGCAAAATTATAACAGTCGAAGTATTAATGTAAATCACTGTATATATTTATGTAATTTGAAAATTTGTTTAATGATCATTAAAAACGAAAAATATTCTAAGATCTTTTTAGCAAAAGTGTTGATCTTAGAATGTTTTTCAATTATTCCCATGAAAATAGAAATTCGCATAAATATCCACGATCTACTTCTACGTCTTAACTTAAAGAAATCAAGTCAATGATTGCGACTGTAATCAGACAAAAAGATTCAATGTTCGCCAACTATTGAGAAAGATCGTTCGCTACGTTCACAATTTAAATACTCCACTTTCCCCTCTGTTTAACAACGTCGCTCTTTTGGAACCACTTTTTTCCCTCCCCATTGTTTGCCCTTTCTTTCAAGTCTCTGCTTGTGTTGTAATCAGCATCCTTTCCAAGTATCATTTACGATAAGAACGTTGCGTTCTTTTAAAACGCAACGTGCCTAAATTCTGCCCTTGTAAACCTGTTATCTCGCCATTTGTTTCGCCGATAAACTCGTTCAATTAACCTGTGCAAATTGTTAAACATTCGATACGATATCTTTCGAGGCAAGGCTGAAAATACAAGGTACCAAGTGTTCCCATTATAAATCCACGACGCGATGGAAGGGTAAACAATCGTCAATTTCCACGATGAAGAGGAAAGAGGCGACTTCGGTTATCATCGGGATCAATTTGATTGTACTAGACTTTCGGTGCGATATTGTAACGTGGTTTATATCGTATAGTTTAGTTTATATTATACAAGGACATGCGAAATGATTAACTTTCAACCGCTACCATTGGATCACTGAGAACCATAACATTTTAGAATTAAATTAAATTAGAGTAGGGGTAGTAATAATATAGAATAGAATTAAATTACAACGGAAGATTTCCAAACAAAGAAATTCAGAAAATTATGATGAAATAACTGCTGCTATTGGATTGTTGGGAATCGTCATAAAATTAGATTGAATTGAATTTAGAATAGACGATAATATAGAATAGAATTAAATTACAAACAAAATATCTGTAATCAAAAAATTTCGAAAATTATGGATCAGTAGAGAGCTGTAACAGTTTAGAATTGCTTCAACTTGGAAATTCACTTAAACACGTAAAATTGACCCCTAAAAATATTCCTATTTTTCCAATTTTACGTTGTAATTCTAAAAAGCAGCCTGTAAGAAATATGAACAAGAGTTACTTCCTTTAATCGGTGAAAGGTTCGTAGCTTTTATTTAAAATTTTGTTTCTAATTATATAATAATTGATTAACTTATTGTCATATAACAATTCTTATTAAAAGAAATAATTTACAAGATTAAATTATAAGATAAAATTACCAATTATTCAATAGAACAAAAATTACTTAGTTATTTAATACAATAATATCAATTACTTATAAAGTACAAATTATTATTCAATTATTTTTAATTAAATACAAAATACAAAATAGAATCAAATCTCATAATAATCTAGCACAAATTACTATAGTTACCTACGAGCCAACTAAAGTCCCTTTTCTCTATTTCAACAATCATTCAATGATTCATCTGAATTTCTTTCCTCTTCGATATACGAGTTTCGCATATTTCTTCTCGATTGATCACGCCTTCATTTTTCATTAGAATCAATTTTCCAAACTCAGAAAGAAGAAACGTTGCGCGAGCAAGCTCAACGAGTCACGCAGATCCTTCTCGACACGAATTCCTTTTTTTTTTTATCAAAGTTCGTTTCAACT